CAAAAATCTGCTATGAAATATTCTAAAAAATAAGGAAAGAAACTACAAAGTTCTCTAGGACTAACGTTTGATAAACTGAATAACATGGCAAAGATTTTGATTGCATAACTCGGTTCCGTAAAACCGTTAAAATTGTATTTTAAATATTTGATCGGACATTGTCCGATCAAATATTTAAAATACAATTTTAAATATTTTATCCAGTACTTTATTATATATATTATTAAACCGAGCTTTGTGTATAAAAACATATATTTATTGTCATATACTTATTAATACATATACTTATTAATCATATTCTTATTAAACATATACTTATTAATCAACAATAAATTCACTAGCTTGCGTTAAGTAAAAGTGTGAAAGAAGCAGAGTAACAAAGATGCATCTGGAAAAGCAGCACGTAATATATTTCGTTCTATAAAGTCTTTATCTGTCATGATGGCTTTAGTCTTAGACCACGAAACATTGTTTCTCTTTGATTCCACAAATTAACTAATAGTAATAGAGAAGAGTGTATTATTGTTAATAATTCAGTTTTATGTGTAAGCTATAAAAAGCGTTTTTGTTCACTAAACAAAATAAAAAAATAAAATACCAAGTATATGAAACTTTTTCTGTGCAATTCATATCATTTGAATATGATAAAACCATTTAAAAGTTAGTTATTCGAAAAGTACTCAACAGATTTTTGTACTTAACATTATCTGCTCGATCTTGGATAGTTTAAATTTGTTTATATTTCCGTAAAATAAATCCAACTTAGGTTTGAGAAACACTGATCAATTTTAAAATATCAACTTGTGACAAAAAAAGAATTTGGAAAAACATTTATTTACTCATTTTAATTCATTAACAATGATAAACATTACTTAGTATCATTACATTCAAACAAAAATTTATAAGCTTCTGTATAAAAAAAAAAATTAAAAAAAAAAAAAAATTTGTTAAGTAACTGGTAATATTGTTAAGTTTTTGAGTAACTTGCATTTAAAATGTGCTGAATTTTAATGTGTCAACCTGAATTTCAATGTGTCAACCTGAATTTCAATGTGTCAACCAATATAATTTAAAATAGTAAAAAATAGAATCATCAGTTACTTGAAACTGTTAAACATCACTTGAGGACACTAGATCCTGCAGAGTGTATTCTCTGTTCACAATATGACAATAGGATTATGAGTTAAAAGAAACAAGACTGTAAAATTCCTTTTTTTCAAACGTAAACTACATTTGGTGTTACAACTACATAGCTCAGTCTAAAAATATATACCATAGCACATAGAAAAAATATATATTCTAAAGCACAGTCTAAAAATATAAACCATGAGTTTTTTGGGGGACTACCTTATCCTGTACATCATAATGCATGACAAAAAAAAATTAAACCTTAATGATGTTGAATCTTTATTTGTAATCAAACCATACAGCAGCTACCTCACTTTCACTTAAAAACATCAACAAAAATTCATCAAAAACATCATTCAAAAACAAAACGTGCCACACTTACATTATAGTTTAAACTTATTAAAAAAAGAAATTATTAATTTGCAAAATATATTGATAATCAACTTTGGTATGTTCTAACCAAAGATAAAATGTATAAAGCAGCACATTACCCAGCACTGTCTTCACAAAGAATAATATAAAGAGTTTCTAACAGTTCATACATATGATATAAAGACTTTTCATCCATACATATAATATAAAGAGTTTCTAACAATTCATACTTTGCATCCATACTTATGAACTCAGGATATGCACAATAGTGTTTTATACACTATGCATAAAAATGTTTTGGAAAAAAATTGCTTTTAAACTACCTTCTGAATCTGTTGCTTTAACTTCAACATTAGCATCGGAAAATAATTAACAAGAATAATCAAGATATAAAAAAATAATTTGCCATTATGTGAATGTTTGGGTTGTCTGGACATCTGAAGTATTTTGAGAATTTTCTGAAATTCAAAGTAGCTTTACCTTTTAACCTATATTGTTGTTATTAGTGACTTCAACACTGATTGTGGTAATACTACTGATCCTCAAATAGCCAACTTTGTGACTCATTTTTCAGACAACCTCAGTCTATACTAGCATTTATTTATCAAAATTTTTTATCTTCTTAAGACTCGTCCTATAACACACTTTTTACAGCTAAATTATGGCTGACTAGGATTCCTTTAATGATTTTCAGCAATTGAGATGATGTCATTTATCTTTCCAATGATAATTGTGCCTCTTACATAGATTCCTAGATTCAAGTAAGCATGGACATTTTTATTCCTCCCTATCAGTTTTAAACCAACCCTGGTTTTTATTTTCTAGAACAGCTGCTGTTTCTAATTGTAATTATTTCTTATATTTCTTGAGAATAAACACGACTTTATAATTGCAAATAATCAATGTAAAATGCTGTTGTCTAACGTTAAAACGACAGGCTAAGGTAGTGATGTAGTGGTAGCACGCTAGCTTCATAAACAAGAGGTTTCGAGTTCGATCTTCACCACATCCCTGGTAGTACCACGCTCAACTTGTTTCTTCCCGCAGCGGTCTTGTTTTTCAAAGTTTGTGTTTCAGAGATATAGAGTTGAGAAAGGGTTATAACCACAATTAAGTAGCCTCCTCGTCTGTAGTGGTCTTCTAGGCTTTGTGGAGGTGAAATAACATAAAAAAAAAGGTTCATTATTCAAAGACTACAAAATATCCTTTTTTTCTCCGAAGACTTTTCCAGAGACTTTAAAAAAATTTTTAACAGTGTGATCAATAAAGACAAATTTAATATTCCATCTCTAATTCATGGGTCTGATCTTATTACCAAGGATAAAGCGTATCTATTAGCAAATTAAAATTAAAATTTTCATCTTTTGACGCTTTAAAATGCAGATAGAAAGAACAGTCTTTTTTAAAAGTTCTATAATTTATATTTTAATCAGAATGTAAAATACAATCTATTTAATCATACATGCTTCTGAATAAATTTTTATATTCAACAATTTTTACAAATAACAAATTAACTAGTATAAAGAAAACATTTTTCAAAACATTAAAAACAAAAAAAAACATTTAGTTTATTTGACATTTCTCTGTACTTAATTAAAACTTAAAGTGTTACTTAATCTACTTATTTAAATCTTAAAATGTTACAACATATAGAGAAATGATAAAAACCAGTTTGCGACGGTCGGGAGGCTGAATAAGCGCGAATTTCATAAGTGCGAACTGGCATAAGTGCGAAGCGTTGCAAACTGGTTCGCACTTATGTCAAAACTGACATAAGAGCGAACTGGTATAAGTGCAGATTGGCATAAGTGTGCCAAAAGAATTTACAAACATTTGCATAAGTGCGAACTGACATAAGTGTGAAGCAGTTACAAAAACAGGCTGAATAAAAATGCAAATATTAACATAAATGCAAATTGGCATTTCTTATTTATCCCAATTCGCCCTTATGCCAAGTCGCACTTATGCCATCTCGCTACTAATCAAATTACGTTGTGAAAAGCATAGTCAATAGAAGTTATCCGGAAGGTATAACTTTTATTGCTAATACTATTATTATAATATTACTATTATTATTCTACTATTATTCTATATTATATATCCAGAAGGTATAACTTCTATTGACTATGGTTGATCACAGTAAAACGAACTATTTCAAAATCTATTAAGTCTTATACTTAATCAAGTTCATTTACAATCTGTTTTGCTTCATTTCACAAGAAATATTTTTCCAACAACAAAAAACACGAGCAAACTCGTAAACAATATAGAATGAATAAGCATTGAATCACCGTGGTAACGGTAAAATTTTCAACATTTTTTTTAATGTTGAGCTCACGTTGAAATAACCAGGGGTGTGGAGTCGTAAAAAAAAAGTAACGACTCCTACTCCAGTTGTTGGAATTTTTTGAGTACAACTTCGACTCCAACTCCAGTTGTTAAAATTTTTTGAGTGCAACTCCGACTCCGCCTCCAACTCCGACTCCGCCTCCAACTCCGACTCCGACTACAACTCCAAGGCAAAACTTTTGAAAAACTCTTTAAATTCTTTAATAAGTATTACGCAATATGTTAAAAAGTTTTTTTTTGACAAATTTATGTAATGTTCTTTGAGGTTTTGTATGAACATAAGGTTGGTTAAATGTTTTGTACATGCATGTGAATTACCGAGAAGTTTTACTATAGGAGTCGGAGTCGCGATTTTGTATAGCGACTCCGACTCCGACTCCGCTAAAAATGTAGTAACTCCACAACTTCGACTCCACAGCCCTGGAAATAACGTTGAAATTCAGATCGTTATTTTTCAACCCCCAACGTTGTAATAACGTTATGTGCGTTCAACGTTGAAATAACGTAATGTGAGCTGGGTTTATGATTTTGATACCTTACACAAAGACACACTTTTTAATTTTTACTATTAAAAATAAAGTAATGAATATTACACTCTAATGTTTTTGATTTTTACAAATAAAAATAAAATAATTAGTAGGGTTTTTTTTTCGCGAACACTTCTGTTGCAGAAATGGAGTTGAAATCTTTATTAACCTATATTTGGATCTATATTTAATGATCCTAAAAAAAGATTAGGATTACTAATTAAAAAAAAAATTTTTTTAACTAGTAATACCTAACTTGTTAGTTTAAATACCTTTAAAATAAGTTAAGTTGATTAAAAAGTTTAGAATCGTCCTATCGGACGATTCTAAACTTTTTAATCAACTTAATTTATTTTAAAGTAATAATGAATTTCACATTTAATTCAAAAAAAATGTTACGTCTTCAAAGCGGTATGCAAGATGTTTATTTAACAATTTATTTAAATTTAACATATGACGTCAAATTGAATACATGCTTCATAAATATAACGTAACACTAAATTCGCACACATACACATTTCTTTCACAAAACTAACAATTCCATTTTATCCAAAATACATAAACTATATACATTATATACACTATTACTTAGACAATGATTGCACTATACTTACATTTTAACTACAAAAAGACTTCGCAGTAATTGAACAATAACTACACATTAATTAAACAATTGAAATAAATACACAAGTATTCACAAGTTCCATACAAATCGTTTTTAAAATTTAATGAGATATTTTAAAGTAAATATAAAGTTAATGAGATGTTCCAAATAAAAAACAGTAGTGTTATAACCAAGAGACAACAACAAATGTAAATTTGAAAGCGATGAATTTTTCACATATCAACGGTAAAGCTTGTCCTGTTGATGAATTGTACAGCTCAAAAAATATATATCAAGTTGTAAGCCATTTTGTATTTTGAATTAATGTCTATCTTGTAAATTATTAATTTTTTTTAAGAAAAATTGACATTTAATAACAAGCTCTATTATAGTACGTTGTTTTGAAAAAGTTTTCTTTGTGGGTTTTTTTCAAATTTGCTTCTAAGTATCGGCGTATATCTGTAAATGAAATCTGTAAAATTGTTTTGTGGGTAGTTGACTTGAGTCTGAAAATTTCAAGTTGCAGGTATTACGTTGACTTTAGACAAATATTAGATTGACTTTAGTCAAGTATTAAGTTAACTGCAGTCTGAAAAGTTTAAGTTGCAGGTATCAAGTTAACTTGATTCAGGTATTAAGTTGACCTGAGTCTGAAAAAAAAAATTGATATTTATACCATTTAAAATACATGACCTAATAAAACCATTTTTTAACATGTTTATGTAAACACAATAAAAATCATGACTACAAAGTTTGTAACCATGATATTTAACTGCTGCTCGAGAAAAAAAAAACTTTTTTTTTAATATAATTTTTGATTTCCATTTATATATCAATGAATGGAACTCACTTGTTACATTTTTGGAATCAATTGCTAAATAAGACAAAAAAAACTATATTTTGATACATTGTCAAACATTTATTTAACAATTATATAAAAAAAGTTTCTTTGTTTTTATGTTCTTTAATTAGCAAATAAAGAAAAAGTTTTATGGTAATTATCAAAAAAAAAAAAAAAAAGTGGTTCATGTTAGCGTTCCATTTATTGGACTGCAACGGTTTTTTAAATAAACTTTTGTTTAGATTAATTGTAATAAATTTATTATTAAAATTACGTTATTTTAAATATCATTCGTTTATACATTAGTAAAGATTGTCTTAAAATAAAATGTTTATGTAAACTTTTTACATAGGTAGGACATAAGCAGTTATTGAACTGTTCAAACGCTCAAAAGTTAAATAACACTCATTACCACTACAAAACATTTCTTCAGAAAAGGGCTTTGCGTTATAAATCTATTGATAATGATCTAGATAAAGATCTTGAAGAATATCGGAGTGAATGGCTTAGCTTAAGAAACAAAAACCATCTGAATCATCAACAGAACTTTAATCAAGAGCAAGACAATTTGCCAGAACATATGATATCGACTGTTTTGTGTGGCTTTCAGGATTTATTAGACAAGCAAATAAACGCGATAAAAGTTGATTCAAATACAATAAGTAGATCATCAAAAAATACTGAGTGTAATTTATTACCGGCAGACGAAAAACGTGCGTTTGACAAAAATGTCGATCAAATATTATTTAAAAATAACAATTTCGGTGGAATCAGATTCTTGAACGTAAATTCAATTTTACAAAGAACAGATGAAAATCTTTTAAAAAATGAGAAAGAACTTGACCCTCTACTTATGGAAACTACTTCAAGAAAAAAACTTGAAAACTCGTTCAGCACTAAAGACCTCGAGTGTAACGCAAAACTGCCCAAGATAAAAGTAGTCGGCAATAAAAACTATTTATCAAATGGTGAAAAAATCCGCGAATTCTGCTTTTTTAAGTCATTGTTTTTCGTAATCAAGGGTAACGAAATATATATATAACTTTTTTTTAAGAAAAAGTTTATTGTGATTTGTGTAATGTATATTTTTGGTATAATGTATTAATCTCGTTTGGAATTATGTACTAATCTCGTTTGGAATAATGTATTCATCTCGTATGGAATTATGTATAAATCTCGTTTGGAATTATGTATTGATCTCATTATTCCGAAAGCTGTTTGATTTTTGTGATTCGCTTTTGATTGTTTCAGAACGATTTTGTGAAAAAGTGATTTTTAAATTTTAATTAAGAATTCTTATAAAAAAATTATTTTTGTGCTCTTAAATTTTTAAAAATCTTAAATTTTTTATCATGGAAATTGATGTCAATACTATATATATATATATATATATATATATATATATATATATATATATATATATATATATATATATATATATATATATATATATATATATATATATAACATATTTATATGTGACATTTTAAAGTTATGACGTTAATGTATATATTAAAAATAACGTCATTTGTGGTAATTTGAAACAATTTTCTTTTTAAAAAAATTATTATTTTTTTTTATCTCTTACATATCACACGTCTATGTTTTTATTTTATTGAATAACTTTTTTTTTTTTATTTTGCCCTAAGAAGTCCCTCGGTCTTACCACATAGCACCGTGGATGATATAATATAATAAATATAACTTGACTGCTATATAGTCTTTGAATCGGTTTAGCTTTTTTTCTCACTTTGTGTTCAAATTTAATTTTGATATCACTATAACAAAATTTATTATTAACAATAAATTTTTTTGTTCAGTAAGTTTTAGCTTTCATTTCTTCCATCATAGGTATAATCGGTGATGATGAACTTTTCGTTAAAAAATTGACATATGTAATATAAATACTTCAATGTATGAACTATTTTTTCACCAATAAATTTTTTCACCAATAAATTTTTATTAACTCAAAACTCTCTAGAGGTTAATCATTTTGAATTTTTTAATAATTCCCTTTGAAGTTTGTATAAAAAATTATTAATTTTTTTTTTTAATTCTGATTTAAAATTTGATAAACTGTTTTAAAATTTGACGCAAATTTTAAAACATAAACCTTGTAAACCATATCTTTCAACTAAATTATGGTTTTTTAACTTCCATAAAGATTATTTTTTGATGCCAGAATCAATCCTAATGATATCTGAACAAACCATGGTAGTGGCTGCACATGTACTGAATGATGTCTAAATTTGTTTTTAATGATGTCCTAATGAATTTTTACTGAATATTTAATGTCTGAACTATTTCTGATGACGTCACGATGTCGAAATAAATTAGGTATCTGATATCTGAATAGATCAACATTGGTGTGAAAAAAAGTGCTAAATTGATTTTTTTAAATACTAAAAACATTGGAAAGCAAAAATAATTTAAAACATTAATAATTTTTGAATAATGAAAACATTTAGAGATAAAGTCTAACAAACCAAAACATAGAATTTAAAAAACTATTCATTCAGTATTGTTGAACCTAATATGTTGACAAAACATCGTTTACATGTCTTTTGAGTGCGAGGTTCTTGGAAACGTCTTTTTTTGGTTAATCATAACACATGAAAAAGCGCTTGTATTTTGTCCCAAAAAAAAGTTGAAAAGTTTCTAACTCGACTTTAGCGTCCAATTCGTTTCTTATCATTTTCAAATTCAAAACGTAAAAACGGGACACGAAAAAAAGTTTTTCGAACGTTATTTTAAACAGTCTTCTGAATTTACTGGTTTTGTTTATCCGCTCGTTTAGACTGATTTTAACTAAAATAAAATGCAACAGTAATTACACTGTGGTTTTTTATTTTAGTTTTATTGCAAAATTTCTAACTCCATCGGTATTATTAAAATACATATTAATAAAACCAAAAACTTTAAAAATCTTATAAATACAGTTAAAAAAAACTTAAAGTATTTTTTTTTTTTTCAATAAATATGTGCAAAACATATGTTGATGAGAAATTGTTTATCAGAAGATTCTAGGAACTATTAGGCCTTAATTTAAGATGTAAGTGTTTGGATAAGTTTGTAGGGTTGGGTGGGGAAATGTTGGTCTAAGGGGTAATATGGGTCTAATCAACATTTATCAGTTTTTCAGACGAAAGATTTTAGATTGAAGCTTTTTTTTCTCTGTATATTAAAATTGGTTAAAACAGCTCTCTAAACTTTAATTATCAATTTACAAGGCAAATTCTTAATTGTATTTTTTTTATTCAAAATGACGCATAAATTTAAAGAGAGATTTTTTATCAAAAACTTTAAACTTTAGAAAAGGGGTTTTAAAAATAGGGTCTAACACATAGAAAATGTTTTATCTGGAAGAAAATATAGCATCCCAGTGGGAAAAAAGATATATTTAGACGAATAAAAAACGTCTTTTTTAAGACTTGTTATATCTTTTTTTCTAAATAAAGACGTCTTTTAAAAAAACGTCTTCAAAAAAGAGGTCAAAAAGACGTCAATCGGACGTCTTTATTAAGACGTAGAAAAGACGTCTTTTATATCGATGACCTTTAAAAAAAGAAATGAGAAAGAAAGAAAGAAGCTTCAAAGTTAAGTATGCCATCAAAGGCGCCTTTCCCCTATATATATATATATATATATATATATATATATATATATATATATATATATATATATATATATATATATATACATATATATATATATATATATATATATATATATATATATATATATATATATATATATATATTTTTATATATATGTATATATATATATATATATATATATATACATATATATATATATATATATATATATATATATATATATATATATATATATATATATATATATATATATATATATATTTATATTATATATATATATATATATATATATATATATATATATATATATATATATATATATATATATATATATATATATATATATATATATATATATATATATATATATATATATATATATATATATATATATATATATATATATATATATAATTGTTCAAGTGCCAGTGAAACGAACGATAGAAAAGAAGAAGCATTCAGTAGGCTTGCAATTTTTTAATATATATTTTTAAATGGTCTGAATAATTTTGTTGTTTTTATTTAGTTGAATGATGAAATTGAATATACAAAATATTGGCTCTTTAACTTTTATGTTAAAGTTATTATTTCTTTGTTAACTGTTATCTGTCGTTAATAAAGCAAGTAAAAAAATGTACATAATGACAACAGATTTGTCTTTAGAACTGTTTGCAAAACCTTTGGTTTGGATACAAAAGACCAAGTTAATATGATACTGGAAAGGTACACTTTCTTATATCTAAACATCATTGCAGCTTTCTAGTCTTCATTTTTGTTTATGTGTATTTCATCTGTGTTGCTAATGATATTGCCAATTTTTATAATTTTATGTTGTTAAGTAAAGCTTCATTATGTTTCAGGCTAGAATAGAGCTTTAATTAATACTTTTATCCAGTTTAAATGAATAACAACTCTCAAGCTTAATTATTTTTTCGTTTTGATAGTCTTTAGTCAATAACGGATATTTAAATTGTTATGAGTCTACAACACTTAATATCAGCAAAATTCAATTAAAAAGTCACGTCATAGAAGACAGAAAAATATCAATATCTGTTTTTAATCACTTGGCTTTCATAGCAAATTTGAGAGGTGCAAATATTTAGCTTGGTTTAAGTACTACATAATTAAATAGATTGTTGTACAGTCATTTTGATGGTTGTAAATTTTTTTAGCACACTCATTTTTATATATTTTTAGACTGTTTACCGTTTGACTCCTGTCCCAATCTAACCTAGTGGGTTCAAAATGAAAGGACTATGCTGGAAACATTAGGGGGTTAAAAGGATTAGCCCTTTTTGAATTAATAGTCGGTAATTCTAATGTGTTTCACTCAGCTAATCAAGTTTCATTTGCTTTTTTGTATTACATTCAAGCAATAGACTGTTTTTTATGTTCACTCATTTTTTAGAAGTCGTAATCAGTTCGTTTGAAAGGATTTATCGAAGTGAAATAGTTGATTTTATTCAACAACGCTAAGAAACAGAGCTCGCTCAAGAAACAGAAAAGAAAAAGAAAGATAAAAAAATATTCTGTTGAACAATACTGTTGTTTTATTTATAAACTATTCTCCTATGTTTAAACATATAAAAGATGTAGAAAATGTTTCCTCTTTTATATTGACATATAAAAGAGGTTTTTTTCTCGGTATCGGAAAGATCTTTTTGTCATACTTTGTATGAAGAGCTATTATCATTTTAATTTGATAAAAACAGCTTTTCATATATGAAAAGTAAGAATACTATAATGTATAGGATACCATAGTATACTAAAAAGTATGACAAAAAAGTCGCTCCGACCCCGAGAAAAAACACTTTTTTAGAAGTGCATAATTGATAAACAAAGACGTCTTAAAGACGCATTTTTTATATCTTTTCATGACAAGATAAAGACAAAAAAGATGCCTTTTCAATATTGAAAAAAGATGTCTTTTAGATTTGCATATTCGACTAAAAAAAAGGCGTCTTATAGACGCATTTTTTATGTCTTTTCATGACAACATTAAGATAAAAAAAGACGTCATTTCGATGTCGAAAAAAGATGCTTTTTAGATTTGCATAATCGATTAAAAAAAGACGTCTTAAAGACATCGTTAATAAGACTTTTAAAGACGTCTTTTCGACGTCTTTTTTCCCACTGGGATATAATTAGGTTCAATTAGTTTTAAATTGAATGATACATAGTTTTTTTGAAATAAGCAACATTTTTAGGTGGGGTAACGTGGGAATATTTATTAATGAGTTTTGTACCGTTAAGAATTTAATGCTTATACAACAATAAATACCTTTACAATAAAAATTAGTATAAGTTAGAAGTCTGACTATGTTTCTGGATTCATTTTTTTAGAGTCATGTTGCTATGGAATCCTTTAGATGATCATTAAAAATGTAATGATATCATGTTTTCAATTAAAACTAGTAGATAGTGCAGCGTAGCAGTATTGCACATTGAAGTTTTATCATATAAACACGTCGTTTTTGTAGGATAATGAATCTCTAATATAGAACACAATATATTTTGGATAATTTTCAATTAGGCCATCGCTTTAAATTCTTTCGTAAACATAACTTTATCATGCAATTTATCAAGTCTTTTTGGAGAATACCTCTGGTATTCTTTATATCCAGGTGCATTGCAAAATTTTGACAAAACTTTTTTTACATAACTTTTTTTACATAATTGTTACACAAATTATATAATTTTTTTTTAATAACGTTTTATAAAATTTTTTATAAAAAAAATAGCATTTTTAAAATTTGGGTTTTTTAAAGTTAATCCTTATATATATATATATATATATATATATATATATATATATATATATATATATATATATATATATATATATATATATATATATATATATATATATATATATATATATATATATATATATATATATATATATATATATATATATATATATATATATATATGTTGCATCTATATTCAGAGGCGATTTTATGATTGTGTGTGTGTGTGACCTCCAAAGAAGGTGGTTTTCAAAATATGGTAGGTTTTTTGATGAATATTGTCGGCTAGTCGGGTATTTTACACATATATTAGTCAATTGAATTTTATTTTTGAGAAATTTTTTCTTTTTTTCTCAGAAAACCGTCGGTACTTTTCAAAAATTTCACTTTTTATCAAAATTCCATTACAAATTATTATTACATATAAATTTGTTATTTTATAATAATTATCATAACAAGAATTATACATAGTAATAATTATTAATCGTATCAAGTGAAAAAATTTGTTAGAAAAATGAAGATTTACAAAATGAATTTTTATTTAAGAAAAAAAAACATTTTTCTTAAAATTTTTTGTGGTCTCGGTTGAACTTTTTTGAGCTCAATATGCGCAACTAATAACGTAACATCAAGATTTTTAAAAGATGTTTGGATTTTGATAAATGGATAAAAACTGTGCTGAAGGTTCAGGTAAAAATGATTTTTCCTCAAAATCACCTAAGAAAACCTATAAAACTGATTCCTACTTTGAAGCTCAAAGAAATGATGCTTCAGATGACAGGTATGATTTATTTAACTATCAAGAATTAGTTTTATTGTGAAACTGAAAAAGGAATTTATTAACCTAGATTTTACCAATCGAAATCTATAACGATATTTTTTAATTTGAAATAAAAAATAATAAAGAAACTTGGACTTTAGAATTTATTATAAAAGAAATATTATACATACTAAAATAGTTTAAAAAAATAATAAAAAAACAACTATTTATAAAGCAATTTGTGTGAGTTTATTTGAAATTATTTTAATATATACAATATATAAGAACGAAAACTATTTATATCTGTAAATATTATGCTTTTAGACTTGGCGATACTACTTCGAACATTACATCTCGTAAAGAAAGTGAACTGTTAGAGTATGCTTTTTATTTATATGACATATATGTATATACATATAAATGACGTAATATGTATCCAAGCATAAGTAGTAGAGTACAAATACAATACAGTACAGCGGTAAGCCAAGGAAGGGTTTATACAGCGGTAAGATAAGGAAAGGTTTTGCACCCAAATATATTATTAAATATAATTTTTTTTTTTGCTTTTTTACACCCTTCTCTGCTCATTAAAAAAATCCTTTCATTAAAAAACGCTATAAAATCTATTGCAAACAACTGCACCAAAGAAAGTAGAAATATTAAGGACTAAATGTAACTTCAGATTGTTTTATAAAATGCATCAGAAATGTTAATTTTATTAATTTAAAAAGATAATCTTGTTACAATATTGATTTAGTAAATTTTGTCGCACTTCTGATTATAGAGAAAATATTTTTTTACTTACTTTGTAAGCATTTTTTTTAAATTATTTAGGCATGGGCCTTGACTTTGTAAACATGGAACTTGAGTTTATTGAAAATTTACTACCTGCATTGTGAAAGATTAAAATACAAGATTAGAAACCATCAACTTTCTTTACTTTGGTTAACTATATATTCAAAAATCGTGCAGGTGGTTGACTGATATTTTACACTCATATAAAAAATCATTAAAAAACAGGGTATATTATACTTTTAGTTATTGCCTAATGGATTTTGTTTTTAAAATGGTTTGTTCAAAAAAAATATTTTAATGGAACTTTGCAATTTGAAGCTTATTCAACCAAAAATTTAAACGTCTATGTCAACCTTTACAACACTATGATTAAATTAATATGTTACGCTAAATTTGCGAACTTGCCGATTTCGCGAAATATGAAAATTTTGACAATGATATATATATATATATATATATATATATATATATATATATATATATATATATATATATATATATATATATATATATATATATATATATATAGATAGATAGATAGATAGATAGATAGATATATTTATATATATATATATATATATATATATATATATATATATATATATATATATATATATATATATATATATATATATATATATATATATATATATATATATATATATATATATATATATATATATATATATATATATATATATATATATAGATAGATAGATAGATAGATAGATAGATATATATATATTTATATAGATATATATATATACATATATATATAGATATGTACAAATAACCCACACATTGGTTATTTTACAGTTTGCTGCCGCAAAGAATTGCTGCTGAAAAAGTTAATGAAAGTAAAGATTGCTGCTCTACGCCAAACTTTTAGTCGATGTAGCGACACCCCATTACGGCAGCAGGCTTTAAGATAATCAATGTATGGACTATTTTTATATATATATAATTTTGTAAAAATTTTCATTTTTTGCGATTTCGGCAAGTTTGCAAATGTGTCAGCACTCGAATAAATATTATACAAAGTGTATTAATAAATATAAAAATCACGGGAACTGAATATTGGCGTTTGCCAAATCATAATTAACTCATTTTTGCACAATTCTGAAAGTTGAGCTGAGGCCCAGAGAAGATGTTATTTTGAATTCAAGAGATGATAATGAAGATGAGATCCTTCAATAAAGATATACAGAAACCCAGACCATAGACGATCACCAGAAGCTACATGACTTTAATAATTCTTTCCCAGTTAAAATAAAAACCAACTTTTCAGTGTCTATGATTGAAGATAGTTCGTTTCATCTTTTCAACGACGATAATAATATTTGATGAAGATTTTTTTTGAAGATAATTGCTTACTGACGAAAGTGTCAAAAGATAGCTATGTAAATTTTATTGTACTGGCCACACCTAATAATGATTGTTTGCATGTTATAACTAATGAGTAAAGTTTAAATGTTTTGAAATTACAAATGAAAGAAAAAAAGAATTATTTAATAAATTTTGGAATTTGGACGGGACCAAAGAATGGTTAAAGTTAGTCCTCTTGTAGGTCAAAGATATTTTTACCAAAAGAAAGTACCACCTTACTCGCAGTCTAAAAGAATTAGTTCATTGTTGTATCATCTGAAACCACAGGATAACACGGATCGGATTCGAGTATGTAAGATAATGTTTCTCAACTCCCTCGGTGTTGGCGAATGTATGATCAGATGTTGGGCTGTTCAAAAGTATAAAAATAATGCAAACACTAACTAGAGAGAATTGTATGAAGAAAATGTAGATTTTCCATGTGTAAAGGCCTCTTAAGGATAAAAAAAAGGCCGAAACTGAGGGTCAAACAAGGGCGGTGAACGGTAAATATTTAAGTAATGAAAGAAAACTTTTGATGGAGTTTTTTGATAGTTTGTCCAGACTTGCATTATTGTAGAAAAGACACAAAAAAACTTTACAAGGAACCCCCCTAGCAGTCAAAGGCTGAGTATTTTAGACATAACAAGTCTTATTGCCAATCTTAAGGGAAAGAAAAGTTAATTTCATTAAGTTTTATATTTCATGAAGTTTTTGAGGATTGTCATCTCGCTTTTTTTACATCGAAGAAAGATCAGTGTGACGTTTGTTGTGCATATAAGTAAGGAAACATTGACCAAACTGGGTATGCCCAACGTACTTCAAGAAAAGACGATACTAGAGATAAAAAAAGCAATTTCAAAGAGGAAAGTAGCAAAGATGTAGTTGTTTTCACAGTGGATGTTCAAGCAGTTGTGCTCTTCTTTAAAAGCTTTATCTTAATACTTTAAAAGAAAAATTTCATAATTTTACAATGTATAATCTGAAATCTAATAATGGGCGCTGCTATCTCTAGCTACCTACGCAAATGGAATGTGACAGCATTCATAGTAACATAGAAAAAAAATTTAAGAAATCGAGAATTCGAATTAAGAAATCGAAAATTTACCAAGTGAATTTACCAAGTGAGTATGTTGAAGTTTGTAAGATCGTCCAACTGAAACACACTTGTTTTAGAAAGTATGGTAGTTTAAATCTAGTTGAATCTATTAGGCCTGCAAAGAATAAGGAGGATCTGAATTGTTACTAATCTCAGGTGTATAAAATATGAGCCCGATGGAACAAACCAGGTAAAGTTGAACCATCAACATGAATTTTAAAATCTTCTTAGAAGAATAAGAAAACTTTCAGTCAGAATGAAAGATATTTCCCCGTTTTACAAGTCACGACTACCAGTGGACTCAATACTGTTCAACCACCTTCAAGAATTTAAGTTTGTTATTTCTAAAGAAATTCACCCGTTTTATTAAAAACATCTCACACCACATCACAACACACCAGTAATTCTTTGCTTGTTTAGGAATTCTATTTCATTTAAAATACAATAAAAGAATAAGAAATAAAATAAACAAGATAATTGTATTTTTCTCACGTGATTTTGCACAAATTGATTTTTAACTTAATAAGTAATATTTTTATAAAAAACTGTTTTATGTAATAAGTTAGGATTTTATACAAAAACAATGTTTTGTATGAAAATAAATACTCATTTTAAGAAAGAATGTCTGCGTTTTATATTGCATATAGCATCAGTAAAAATTTAACTTTTTAGAGTTATTTGATTAGTGATTATTTTTATTTATTCATACTTAATTAAAACTAATTTGTTTTTTTATTACTAATTTAAACTACAATATTTTTATAATTATGGAAAAAATTGAAAATTGTATCTCGCTTACAAATTGATTACAAATACAAAGATGAAAATCTCATTAGTATGAAATAAGTATGAATTTCACGTAATATAACTATATAATAAATTCCACGTAACTTGCTGAATGGTATTAAGTTCTCTTAACTCACAGTCTTATGTTATTTTGAACATAAAACAGTTTTTTTTTTTAATGTAAATATTTGAATTTGTTCAAAACACATTTTAAAATACAGTATTAAAATATATTTTATATATAACTATTTATTTAATTAGATATCAGTATTATATATTAACCTAAAAAACAGTTTTTTTTCTTTTATGGAAAACTATAAACACAAAATAAAGCACAAAATAGAGAACAATATAAAACACAATATAAAACACATGATTAAATGGTTTACGTTTAATCTTGTATGATAGTTTTATACAATTTTATTACTTATTTTTACACTTGCTCAGTTTAAATTGGTCAGCAGGTTATAACTTAACCTTTAAATATGTTTTCAAAACAGCAGGTTAAAACTTAACCTCTATATGTTTTCAAAACAGCAGGTTATAACTTAACCTCTAAATATGTTTTCAAAACAGCAGGTTATAACTTAACCTCTAAATATGTTTTCAAAACAGCAAGTTATAACTTAACATCTAAATATGTTTTCAAAACAACAGGTTATAACTTAACCTCTAAATATGTTTTCAAAACAGCAGGTTTTAACTTAACCTCTAAATATGTTTTCAAAACAGCAGGTTTAACTTAACCTCTAAATATGTTTTCAAAACAGCAGGTTTTAACTTAACCTCTAAATATGTCTTCAAAACAGCAGGTTATAACTTAACCTCTAAATATGTTTTCAAAACAGCAGGTTATAACTTAACCTCTAAATATGTTTTCAAAACAACAGGTTATAACTTAACCTCTAAATATGTTTTTAAAACAACAGGTTATAACTTAACCTCTAAATATGTTTTCAAAACAGCAGGTTTTAACTTAACCTCTAAATATGTTTTCAAAACAGCAGGTTTTAACTTAACCTCTAAATATGTTTTCAAAACAGCAGGTTTTAACTTAACCTCTAAATATGTTTTCAAAACAGCAGGTTATAACTTAACCTCTAAATATGTTTTCAAAACAGCAGGTTATAACTTAACCTCTAAATATGTTTTCAAAACGGCAGGTTATAACTTAACCTCTAAATATGTTTTCAAAACAGCAGGTTACAACCTAACCTCTAAATATGTTTTTAAAACAACAGGTTACAACTTAACCTCTAAATATGTTTTCAAAACAGCAGGTTATAACTTAACCTCTAAATATGTTTTCAAAACAGCAGGTTATAACTTAACCTCTAAATATGTTTTCAAAACAACAGGTTATAACTTAACCTCTAAATATGTTTTTAAAACAACAGGTTATAACTTAACCTCTAAATATGTTTTCAAAACAGCAGGTTTTAACTTAACCTCTAAATATGTTTTCAAAACAGCAGGTTTTAACTTAACCTCTAAATATGTTTTCAAAACAGCAGGTTTTAACTTAACCTCTAAATATGTTTTCAAAACAGCAGGTTATAACTTAACCTCTAAATATGTTTTCAAAACAGCAGGTTATAACTTAACCTCTAAATATGTTTTCAAAACGGCAGGTTATAACTTAACCTCTAAATATGTTTTCAAAACAGCAGGTTACAACCTAACCTCTAAATATGTTTTTAAAACAACAGGTTACAACTTAACCTCTAAATATGTTTTCAAAACAGCAGGTTATAACTTAACCTCTAAATATGTTTTCAAAACAACAGGTTATAACTTAACCTCTAAATATGTTTTCAAAACAGCAGGTTTTAACTTAACCTCTAAATATGTCTTCAAAACAGCAGGTTATAACTTAACTTCTAAATATGTTTTCAAAACAGCAGGTTATAACTTAACCTCTAAATATGTTTTCAAAACAACAGGTTATAACTTAACCTCTAAATATGTTTTCAAAACAGCAGATTATAACTTAACATCTAAATATGTTTTCAAAACAGCAGGTTATAACTTAACCTCTAAATATGTTTTCAAAACAACAGGTTATAACTTAACCTCTAAATATGTTTTCAAAACAGCAGGTTATAACTTAACCTCTAAATATGTTTTCAAAACAACAGGTTATAACTTAACCTCTAAATATGTTTTCAAAACAACAGGTTATAACTTAACATCTAAATATGTTTTCAAAACAACAGGTTATAACTTAACCTCTAAATATGTTTTCAAAACAGCAGGTTTTAACTTAACCTCTAAATATGTTTTCAAAACAGCAGGTTTTAACTTAACCTCTAAATATGTTTTCAAAACAGCAGGTTTTAACTTAACCTCTAAATATGTTTTCAAAACAGCAGGTTATAACTTAACCTCTAAATATGTTTTCAAAACAGCAGGTTATAACTTAACCTCTAAATATGTTTTCAAAACGGCAGGATATAACTTAACCTCTAAATATGTTTTCAAAACAGCAGGTTACAACCTAACCTCTAAATATGTTTTTAAAACAACAGGTTACAACTTAACCTCTAAATATGTTTTCAAAACAGCAGGTTATAACTTAACCTCTAAATATGTTTTCAAAACAACAGGTTATAACTTAACCTCTAAATATGTTTTCAAAACAGCAGGTTTTAACTTAACCTCTAAATATGTTTTCAAAACAACAGGTTATAACTTAACCTCTAAATATGTTTTCAAAACAACAGGTTATAACTTAACATCTAAATATGTTTTCAAAACAACAGGTTATAACTTAACCTCTAAATATGTTTTCAAAACAGCAGGTTTTAACTTAACCTCTAAATATGTTTTCAAAACGGCAGGATATAACTTAACCTCTAAATATGTTTTTAAAACAACAGGTTATAACTTAACCTCTAAATATGTTTTCAAAACAGCAGGTTATAACTTAACATCTAAATATGTTTTCAAATCAGCAGGTTATAACTTAACCTCTAAATATGTTTTCAAAACAACAGGTTATAACTTAACCTCTAAATATGTTTTCAAAACAGCAGATTATAACTTAACATCTAAATATGTTTTCAAAACAACAGGTTATAACTTAACCTCTAAATATGTTTTCAAAACAGCAGGTTATAACTTAACCTCTAAATATGTTTTCAAAACAACAGGTTATAACTTAACCTCTAAATATGTTTTCAAAACAGCAGGTTATAACTTAACCTCTAAATATGTTTTCAAAACAACAGGTTATAACTTAACCTCTAAATATGTTTTCAAAACAACAGGTTATAACTTAACCTCTAAATATGTTTTCAAAACAGCAGGTTATAACTTAACCTCTAAATATGTTTTCAAAACAGCAGGTTATAACTTAACCTCTAAATATGTTTTCAAAACAACAGGTTATAACTTAACCTCTAAATATGTTTTCAAAACAACAGGTTATAACTTAACCTCTAAATATGTTTTCAAAACAGCTGAATACGAGTAATTTAAAATAAATTATTATTTTCATAAATTTTTGTGTTTTAAAGGAAATGGCAAGTAGCGATGCACATTCTCAAAGGAAATATTGGAACTGGAATTCTTGGTTTACCATCAGCCATAAAACATTCAGGAGTACTTGTAAGTTCATTGTTTCAAATACACAAAAAATTGACTTCTTCGGTTATTTATTATTTATTTTTTTTACGACATAATATTCAAAATAACAAATACTACAATAAGAAATCAAAAACATAAAATGAAAAGATATAAAAAAAAAAGTCAAATTTTTTATCCTAAAGCTGTTTCTTGGTATAAAGCAAGAGATAATCTTTTTTGAAATTTTATATAATACAAAAAAGTTATACATTATTATGTATAGTTTTTTTGTATTTTTTAAATTTTTTACTTTTTTTGAACTCTTGTGTTTCATTCATTAGTTAAATACTTAGATGTACATTATGACATTAAAATTTGATTCATTCTAAATATGATGAACTTTGCATTGCCATTTGGAACAAAGGAATTTTTTGACAGTTAAAAAATACATGTATTTCATATTTATGTATTAAAATTTATATATATATTTTAATTATAAACTAAAAACTTGTTTTTTTATCTTGTTTCACGTGATTGAAATTAAAACTACATACCTGTTAAAACTTTTATTAATATTTATTGATAAAAGCAATAAAATAGAATACATTACAAGCCAGTAAGTATCACACTCTCATGGTTTTTGTCACTTATTTCTTAAACGAATTTCATTTGATGTTTTAAATTCTGGCACTAAAATAAAAAAAAATTATTTTCGATGCAGCTGAGCGATTCTTTTTCTCAAAACAATAAGTTTGCTTAAAAGCCATTTCTCAAAACATCAAGTTTGCTTAAAAGCCATTTTTCAAAAATCTGTTTTAATGAGAAGTGGTTTCTTTCAGTTTACTTTGTTTTATGTGTTGTGTCTCGATTTTATTAATTGCAGAATTCATTTTGTTCAAAACATCTTAAAATCTTAGGATAATTAGAAACACTCCTCTGTAAAGAGTCCATACGTTTTATTCATACAGATTATTGAAGAATTATGTGCGAGTGAAATCTTTGATAGCTTTTTTGGTTTTAAATTTATTTTTTAAATACTAAGTTTGCATTTACATAAACTTTAGAGATTTATATATCCGTAAGTATGTGTTTGTTACATTTTGTTATATTGAGTTATTAGACAAAAAAAAAAATTTTTTTTAAGGTTGGACCAACTGTATTGGCTATTATCGCTGTTATTTCAGTTCATTGTATGCATTTAATTGTGTTGTGCAGTCGCTACTTAAGTCAAAAGTGAGTTTTAATACTGAAGTAATTTCAAATAACAATAATAGATAGCAATACTTAGTAATATTAATTGCTAACAGTTAATTTATTGAAAAATTTCGTTGTTATAGAAACAATGTTGAAAATTACGACTATGGTGAAGTTGCTGAAGAAATATTTTCAGAATACGGCGAAAAACCAAAATACATTGCCAGGTTCTTACTTTAAATTTACATTTTTTACTTTAAATTTACATTTTTTACTTTAAATTTACATTTTTTACTTTAAATTTACTATTTCTTTTTTTTTTTAAATATACAAAATAAAAAGTTATGAGTATAATAAACATATTTATATATTATGATGTTTTAGAAAAATATGACATTAGTGTTAACTTTTTATTTTAAATTTATGACACTCTTTTGATTAATTTAGACTAACTATTGATATCTTTCTTGTACTCACTCAACTTGGATTCTGTTGTGTTTATTTTTTGTTTGTTGCTGAAAATTTAGCTCAGGTAAATATTAGATTAATAATTCATAATACAATTTTGTAAAAAGTAATTTGGCCTGTTGGCCCAAGATTATTTTAGCCATAAGTCATTAGTTTGAATTTTGTAACTTTGTAAAATTCGATTTTTTTATACCGTTTACATATATATATATATATATATATATATATATATATATATATATATATATATATATATATATATATATATATACATATATACATACATACATACATATATAGAATTGTAAAAATGTTAATATTTCCGGTAAGAGTACTCAATAAAGCGTGTTTCATAAAACTAACTAGTATATATAATGAAAACTAACTAGTTTATATAGTACTATAGCTAAAAGATCTAATAATTGCTATTGTGTGAAAGTTTAAACTATTTTATTAACTATATTTAACTCGTTATTTAATTTTCACTATATACTTTTTATTTTCAAAGGTGTTTGGAATGTATGAGGTTCGCATCTGGATATTGATAGTTTTAGCACCAGTCCTTTTGTTATCGTTTATACGAAAGTTAAACTTTATTGCTTATTTGTCTACCTTTGCAAATGTTTTATGTTTTTTTGGATTGGTAGGAACATTTCAGTATCTTCTTTTTAATCTTCAAAATCCAGCTATATATCCTGCATCAAAACCGATTCGAGAATTTCCATTATTTTTTGGAACTGCATTATTTGCTTTTGAAGGCATTGGCGTTGTAAGAGCATTATATTTTTCTATTTTTTGGAACTGAATTTAAAAAACAAATTTCATAAAATTTTTAGCATATTATTTATTTATAACAGCAGAAACTAGCTAAGCAGTTATTTTTGTAGGAGGAATGGGGTGGCCGCGCACGCATTCAGAGTGCTTACGCCACATTTTTACAACATGTATGAAGAGCGTTTCCATATTAGACACAAATAACAAATCGGCTGAATGAAATTTAAAATATTTGTGTTTTAAATGTTTTTTTTATCATTAAAATACAACTTATCTATTCTAGGTACTTCCAATAGAGAATAAAATGCGAAAGCAAGAAGACTTTTTTTGGGTTCTTGATACATCTATGGCAACTGTAGCTATTCTTTACATTGCAATGGGATTCTTCGGCTATGTTGCATTTGGTGAAGAAATATTAGCAAGCGTCACATTAAACCTACCCAAGTTACCGTAAGTGAAAATGTACTTTACAGTTAATTAATTAAAAAAATCAAATGCATAGACTACGAGGCTTTTATTACATTATACATATATATATATATATATATATATATATATATATATATATATATATATATATATATATATATATATATATATATATATATATATATATATATATATATATATATATATATATATATATATATATATTAGGGTGCATCACAACATTAGGAAAAAAAATTAAGTGTTTACTTTTGAGTTGTCTGTGTTTCCATTGTGTTTCATTATGCTAACGGATAATATGGGTGAAAGATTTTTAAAATCAAACAATGTTTAGAGGTCCCACCAAGAAAAAAATAAAATTTGTGGAATTATGATACAAAAATAATCATTAAAATTCAATTTCTAGCTTTATTTTAGCATACTTTTTGTCAGTATAAATGTTTCATTGTTTTTAATGCTATAACTATGGTAATGATGTCTTTTAAATTGATAAATGAAACAAAAATTACTATAATAATAAAAATCCCAATGCAGAGTGAGGAGTTTGGGTGGCTGCCAGGTGTTTTGAATTGTTGTCGCTATCTTACCTACGACCTTGCGTCTCGCACGATCGGCAGTGGCATAAGAATAAGGAAACATTGAAACATCACCACCAGATTCAAATATTAATCCCTGGGTGAATGCAGCTTGCTGTGTTGGTGTCATTTTAAGTCTTGTTACCAATGACACTAGATTTGGTCGGCTTAGCAAGTTTGGAGGTATAAAAGCCATTGTTCTTGTTGGTTTTGTTTTAGATGGTGGTTTATCTGTTGATTCAGAGTCAGCTTCCAAATCCATATCTTCATAGGCAGACTCTTCTGATTTGTCTGCATTGCTGTCTTCTGATTCAGTCAAAACTTCTGATGATACAGGCAGTTTTAATGTTTCAATTTCATCACGAGCATACTTCAGACGCTTTGCTGCGGCAACATTGCAATCATGACGCCTGGCTATCTTCTGAGTAAGTACCTTGTCAAATGCACCAAAGCTAGCAGCTCTATCCTCTTTCATTGACTGGAGGAATGCAAACTCCCCTGGATTCTTACCAAGACTTTCAACATTAGACGGCCAGAGCTGGAATGTCGAGGCTAACATGGTTTTTTCTTTGTGTTCGGTGTGTCACGACGGCTCTTTTCGATACAATGGAGTTTGTTGTTATCATCTAAGAGTTTGATTATTTTCTCACATGCTCTTCTTTCTGTAACCATCGGTATGTTGGCTTTTCCATACAGCGATGCAATTTCTTTCAGCACTATTTTTGTTGTTGTAAATTTTGATGGTGCACCAATTGATCCTGGACGTTGACTGTTTACTGCTACATTGCAGAGGTACATCATGCTTCTTAAAACTTGTAAGCAAGTTGGCAGCCGAATACCTGTGATTGTTCCATCATTTGCGCATATAGCAGGGCCGATCTCAAACAACTCGGTAGCTCGACGAGTCTGTGGCTTTTTTTTGAAAGCTGAGAGAGGAGTTGTATTTTGAGGACTTAGCACAACAGGTACAGTTTTACTAGGTGATGATGGTTCTGGAAAAAAAAAAAAAGCTTGCAAAAAACACTGTACTCTTCTAGATTTAAAATAATTTCAAACTACTTCAACATCACATCACCTAGGCTAGTGGACTCGAGTTTGAACACACATCAGATTTTATTAAAAACCTTTGGTGATGCACCCTAAAATATATATATATATATATATATATATATATATATATATATATATATATATATATATATATATATATATATATATATATATATATATATATATATATATATATATATATATATATATATATATATATATATATATATATATAGTATATATATATATATATATATATATATATATATATATATATATATATATATATATATATATATATATATATATATATATATATATATACAGGGCCGGCGCGAACACGTTTTAATAGGGCAGCGGGGGCAGGGGGATTGTACGATTAGAATAAAATAACGCCTAATTTTATTTAATTTTCATTAAGTTTAATCATTCTACTATAGTAACGTTGCTTACTAAAGAGCCAAATATAATGAACATTTGCAATAATTATAAGTTCTCAGTTGAAACGTTTTTTTTTTCCACTTGTTTAAGAAATAGCTTGGGCAAAAAAAAACTTTCTTCTTAAACCAAAGAATTGTTTCTTGATTTAATTAACGATTGATTTTCCGTTGTCTCACTGATGCCCATTTTTAATAACTCTTTTTAAATTAAATTAAATTAAGTAAGTCCAACATTTGTTAGTATCAAGTAGGGTCAAGTTTTCTAGTTAACGCGCATTGTGGATCTGAAATAACTTATGATTAACTTTAATTTGAAAAATGTTCGTTTGTTTGATGGCATGGTTCCTGGCGCTGCAGAAATCATATGGGCCACAGCTTTCGCAGTTCTGTAGCAACAACCTTTGAAAGTAATTATGTATAAAAAATTTTTTTGTGTTTCGAAAGCCCTAGATGATGTACATATGAATCAGTATTTTTTAAAAGGGCGATTTTGCTCAAGACTTCTTGAGCAAATTCGCGCTTTTAAAAAATACTGATTCGTATAAGTGCTGTTAACATCAATTTTAATATTCTGTTTATAGTACCCAAATGCTTCTTGTGCCTTTCTGATTCATTGAAAATTTCTGATAAATTAGGAATGCCTTTGCATCAATAAACTAACGCTAAATAAATTCCATTATAATAGTTGCATCACACCTGGAGGGATTAATTTTATAATTTTTTTCTTTTTTTGGTACTTAACGGGGCTTTTAATAAAATAAACAATGCTTCAATAGTTGAATTACACTTTTTCAAATGCTTAGAAGATAATAAAACTAGAGTATCTAAATAATTTTTGAATTCCGATCTGTAATAAAATTTAAAACCGTCTGAGAATAAGGATTAGAATCAATGTTTCTTGGCAATAGTATTCTTCTATGAAATCTTTTAAAATCAAGTTTAAGATCAATGTTTATTTAAAGTGCACACTTTGTTGCACTAATTTATCAATGTCCAGGTTGCCAACATTAATACTGTAAAAAATCTCACTTGAACTGTTTAGCAAAGTAAGTGCATCATTTATGTTAAGGTCTTTATGTTCATTTTTAATTTGCACATGTTTATCATAAAATACAAAGATACTATTGACGTTTATACAACGGTATTTATAATTGATACCAATAAAATCCAGATTTTATTGATTCGGCTTGAGCTATTTATATTTTATTTTAGATAAATTGCGGAATTTTAAAGAATATATAATCAATAATCACAAGTCCAACTTACTTTTTTGTAAATAACTATATTTCTTTGTAGTGGAAGATTAAAATTTTTTTATTAAAACACAGAAATTAAAATAAATGGAATTAAGCGATTAAGAAGATCAGATAATTTTTGTTGTGTACCATTTACTTTGCCAGACATACTACTATATGTTTTATATCATACATACATACCATATATATGTTTTCCTTTACAATCATCTTCAAGTATGCTATCATATACATGACCTACCAATTTCTTTTTATTTTCATTTTTATTTATTTTTATTTTATTCATTGAAACCTCTAACAAAATAAAACTGCACTTAAGTAAAATTGTTCAGAAAACAGATAAAAGAGCGGTATGAACCAATAAATAAAACTAGTATTAGATAATGTAGCCGCACCTATATCTGATTATATTTTACTTCAAAGCGGATTTCAATCATCTGTTCTTACCACTTTTTTTCTAAATTTCTGCACCAATTTACTTACTAAAGTGTCTATAAAATGCTGTTGGTTACTGACCAGCATTCTATAATTAAACCATTTGATATTATTGATCGAGAAAACTAAAGTCTAAAAATAATGTCTAAAGTATTATTTCTAAAAAGAATTCAATTTGAATTGCCGATTAACGTAACTCGACTTATTTTTTTCGTTAAAAAATTATACTCACTTCTTATTTACATGTTTGCTTCACTTTAGATTTTATGTCATAGTAAAGTTATCATACACACTTGCAATTTTTCTTACGTATTTTATTCAATTTTACGTTCCTATGGAAATTTTAATACCACCCCTTCAAAGAGGAGCAGGAAAAAATTGCAAATTGGCCTCAGATGCGTTTATGAGAATCTCTATGGTGACAGTAACATGTATATTTTTACACTTATTATATATAATATGTATATTAATTTATGCTTATAATCACTAAATTTTAAAAATAATACTGTTAAATAATATTAACTATTAAAATATTTAGGCGCATTGGCGATAAGTATCCCTCAACTTGACAACTTTATTTCTCTTATTGGAGCAACAGTAGCTGCCGCACTGGCATTAATCTTTCCTCCCATACTTTATATAAAATGTTTTTGGAATGAAGACATTGGAAAGTTTGAGATCATCAAAAACTTGACAATATCTTTATTGGGGTTCATTGGAGCCGTCACAGGTACTTACATCACATGCGAGGCTATCGTAGAAGGATTTAAAAAGTCGGAACAGTTAAATGAGAACAAAGGGGAGTTTTTTTCGATTGTTTTGAACAGTACGTTGCCGTGGTTTTAGGCGTGGCAAAATATTTTTTCAAGGCCAACATAATGTATATTGCATTTTTTAGAATAACTATTTTTTTAATTTATTTTTTTTAAGTTTAATATTTTGCAAAAAATTGAGGAACATTCTTTATGATACTGCTTCAAACCCCCACAAATTAATAACTACCTTTGTGATAACTATCTTATTATTAAACAATACTTTTAATTTTCTTTTGAGGATTGGCCTTAAATGCATTTATGCAATCAAACGCAAAAAGTGTCTTTTTTCATACATTAGACAGTAAGTAGGTTAAAATGACAGTTAATACTAACCCGACACAAAGACGTACCCAACGCAAGCACTAACCCAACAGTAAGCAACAAATCGACACAAGTTAGATAAAAACAATTAGACGTCAAATTACTTAATGCAAAAGTTATGTTTACGTAGTCTTAAATAAAAAAAATCGTTTTAGCTTTAGTTATAAATTGTAAGTATTTAAAGGTTTCAATTTCAAATAAAAGCTGTTAAATTGTAAATCATCATTCTACAAAAAGTAACAACGAATCATTTTAGATAGGGTTATGAAATGATAAAAAAAGATAAAATTTTAGGTTCAGATTAAATTTTTATTTACAAATAGCAATTTTTGGGTATGTTTATAATGTATATAAAATTAATTTTTTTTTTTGTCAGTAACAAGCAGGTCACTTCTAGGGATCTAGAGAATCTTGAGGGCCGTGAAACAACCATGCCTTAAAACATAAAGAAGTAATGAAAACTTTTTTTAATAAATCTATACTATCAATTAGTCTAAAATGAAAACCTATATTAGTCTAAAACAAAAGTCTAAACTTTAATTTGAAGACTTTGGTAGAATTTAAACTCATACATCATTTTCGAACTCATATATTATCTTCGAAGTAACTTTTCTTCGGTTGAGTTTTATCTCTTGCAAAATTCACCAGACTTACTTTCTTTATGTGAGACCAATTTGAGTTTAGCTGTCTCATCTTGTGATCTTAGTGTTGATGGTTATTTTTCTTTAACTTGTAAAGACTCCAATAGTCACATGCCTGACCTGGGCATTTACATTTGTAAAAACTCACCAATTAGTTGAGAAACTAGGTTTGAATTCACAGACTATTTCTTTATGTACTTTTGCTTTTCTCATTCTGTAACACAAATAGTCAATTTTCCTACTCGCCTTTCAGACAATCCAATTCAATTACCTTCTCTACTCGACTTGTGTCTTATTTCTAATCCTAGTTAGTGCTCAGTTTTTTCGCATTCTTCCTTAAGTGCTTATGATCATGGCTTGATCTCTCTAAACTACTATCCCATTCTTCTTCATCATCAGAATCCCCCTATCATCGTACCTCTTACAATTCCCTTAAAGCTGACTGGGACTCTTTCTATGATGTTATTCTTGATAGCCCTTACGTAGAAATCTTTTGTCTTCCTGCTGATAAATGTGCTTCTTATGTGACTTCTTGGATTCAGAATCTTTTAATCCCTCTCGACAATTCAAAATTGAACCTCACTCGTCTCCATGGTTTTCGTCCCATTGTGCTGCTACGATTTCCAATCGAAATCATTACTTTCATATCTGTTGCCAAAATAATTCTCCAGAAAACAGGTGTCTGTTTCTATTGCCAGTCTAATTTCAAAGCCCGATATTCTCAGGTCACAAATTCTCGTATTTTATCACAAAAATTAGGCTCATCTTCTGGAGAATCTCTGGAGTGGGGATAATAAGGGCAAACCTGTTATTCTCCTCTCTTGTATGGTTCATATTTTATTACCTCACCTAAAGACAAAGCTGAGTTGTTTGCTAAGACCTATTTATAAATCTCATCTCACTAATCACATCTTACCTGATATAGCCGACAAGCAGGTTAATCCATTGCTTGACATTCGTATCACTTTAGCTTCTAATCTGCTTAGACTCTTCTATAGCTTGTGGTTCGGACAACATTCCTGTTATAGTCTTGCTCACTTCTGTTACAGCATGGGGCTCCCAGTGGTGAACTTTAACTCAGATAAAACTCGAAATTCAACAAATTGTTTTTGTAAAAATCTAGGTCTTCCCTACATTTATGAACGGAAGATCTAGATTTTTACGAAAACAATTATTTGAAACATTTATGAATCATCTTCTATGATTAACTCTCACTTCTGATCTTTCTTGGAAACCATAAGTCAAATCGATTATAATATTAGCATCTGCTAAGGTTGCGTTTCTTTATCGTGCTTGCCACTTTCTTACTCCGGATTCTATTCTTTAACTCTATAAATTTCAAATTCGTCCTTGTATGGAATACTGTTGTCACTTCTGTTGTCACGCCCTTTCTCTTTTAGACAAGTTGCAAAAACGGATTTTGAAAATAGTTGGACCTGCTCTTGCAGCCAACCTTCAACCATTACATCACATCATTACGTCACATCGTCTTATAGTTAGTTCTCTTCCTCTTTTCTATAAATACTATAATTAATAATTAATACTATAGTTATAATAGTTTATTTAATTAATATAATTACAATAGTTTATTAATATAACTATAATTATAATAGTTTATTTAATAGTATTTTTAAAAAAAACCTACTTAAGTTTATTTAATGAACAAATTTTAAAAGTTTTATAACGGATATGATTATCTTTTATAATTCAAGACATTATCAGAAAGAAACAATGCAAACAGCATACTTTTGAATATGTATATATTTTAGATACAACCATGGCCTACTATATAACATTATATAGTAGACCATTATACATACGTTATATAGTAGCCCATGATACAACATAATCGTTAACGACTATAAACTACAGCTAAAATTTGTTTGAACAGTTTTAATAATCTTAGTTTAGTTTTTCACTGTTAAACGCTTACAACGCTATCACCGAGACCATTTAGAAACGCTTACAACGCTATCACCGAGACCCATTAGAAACGCTTACAACGCTATCACCGAGACTTATTAGAAACGCTTACAACGCTATCACCGATACCCATTAGAAACGCTTACAACGCTATCACCGAGACCCATTAGAAACGCTTATAAATATTCGTACTATATAAGAAACAACTTTAAAAAACCTTCACTGATTGATTACATATAATAACAACTTTTGAAGAGCTTGCCTTTATGTACCATTGAAATACTAAAACTTTTATTATATGAAATGTGCCTTTTAAATGCTAAATCTCAACAAATTAGTTAGATGATATCAATATAAACATTCTTAATCATTTTAAGTTGTCTTTTTTTAAAAAAATCATTAAGAGATATACTTTAAATATTTTTTTTTGTTCTATTAGGCAAGGAACTTTTCCTAATTAAGGTGATTCCTATATTTTAAAGAAGGAGATTTAACTAACGTTAACGACTCTCGTCCTATATCAATTTTGTCCATATTATTAAAAATCTTGGAGAGAATTATATATAATGGAATATATAATCATTTATCTATTGACAATTTATATATAGCAATCAACATAGGTTCAAAAAAAAGATAATAACTCAATAGAACACGCAATTCTCCTGTTTACTAGAGGTATAACAAACTCTTTTGAATGTTCTCAACATACAGCTTTATCAACTTAGCTGAGGCTTTTGGTACAATTGACCACAAAAATTTTTTAAATAAACTTAAGATTTACGGAAGGTGGTGGCGTGTGAAGGTGAACGGTGGTTGCGTTTTAAATTGACTTCAAAGCTATTTAAATAATCGAAAGCAATTAGTATACGCTGATGTAGAATCATAAGTAAATTGCTTGATATAACCTGTGAGGTTCCTCAGGAACCCACTTCTTTTTTTTTATTTACATCAAGGGTCTTCATAAGGCCTCAATTTTTTTGACGTCGCACAGTGGGCCAATAGTTGGACAAAACTATAAAAACCAATGTTTGAAAGCTTAAATTTTTTTTACAAAATTTTGGAATAGATATATTGGGGACCTCAAAAGTATTTGAATTAGGTATTAAAAGAATATATTTGCGGAAAAAAATCATATTCAGTAAAGTTTTTCTACAAAAAAAATAGCGATAAAGTGAAAAAATGTAGTTTTTACAAAGCAAAAGTGTAGAATAAATTTTTTATATAATAATTAAATATTTTTATTAATCGATCAAATAATTGTTATTATATAAAATTTATAAAAAAAAAGAATTCAAAAAAATCTTTAAACTAGTTTTGAATATAAGTTTTGGTAGCAAATGTCCTATTTTTACCCTTCTTTTTTTTGAAAGGACATCAAGGAAAAATTTGTGCTGTATTTTGCCCTTATCTCTTATACATATTTTGAAGGCTCTACATATATACTTTCATAAAGTTATTTATTTAGCTGCTAGTATCTGCTACTTCTTTTAATACTTGCTGTAAAATAAAAGATGTTTTTTCTTCAGGTTTTTTTTTTATACTATATATATATAAAGTCATTTTAATTTTTAGTTTAATATATATATATATATATATATATATATATATATATATATATATATATATATATATATATATATATATATATATATATATATATTTGTAATGTCAACATGTCAACATGTACAAGATATCAAGTTCATCAATTCATAAGACAGCATGGTTTATGTCCAATCAAAAATACAAACTTGATGTTCACATTTTAATTGTGAATACTTTTCTCAATTTGATGCTCAATTTGTAACTTTTTTGTCAAAGTATTGTAAACGTTGGTCTTTAAGTTGAAGAGTTCATGAAAACTTTTTGTAACCTCATTCCTAACTCCAACCTTAGAAAAAGACTATTAAATTATCAAAAAATTAGGATAATAAAGCAAAATCGATAGTTAGTGGTAAGCATGTGAAATTATTTGAAAACTCATCAAATAAGACAAAGAGTCGTAAAGTAGCAGTTATCGACTTAGAGTCGTAAAGTAGCAGTTATTAACTAGTTATTTAAAAGAACTGTTGTAGCTGGTAGTTGTAATCTTTCTAAAGATGACAGAAGAATTAATGTGAAAGTGATTTAAAGTTTATCTGTTAAGCAGCCTTCTGATTCAGAACATGCTCAAAATACTCTAAAAAAACTCTAGCACTCATATTAGATAATAATATGAGCAAATCTGATTACTTACACTTGAGAAATATCGCTGTGAGTAAAGGTAGTAATCTCTATCCTGCATACAAAAATGTTCGTGCTGGTAAATAATAATGTTGTGCTGAAAAAACATTATAAACAATTAATAGTTTTTCTGAAAAAATAAACTCTCAACCGTTAGTTGATCATACAACAATACGCCTAATACAACAAAAACAAGTTACCAATTCCATGAATGATCTTGAAAGACTAACATTACATTTTAAAGTTCGGTTTGATGGATCAACTAGCTAAGGATTTATAATCAGGCAACAGTTGAGATAAAAAACCAAAATTTTTTAGTAGAAGCTAAAAATATGTTGTTGACAGAAATAGGTCTCTGCTATGGCCTTTTAACTTTCTATGCTTGAAATAAAAGCATGGAATGTCTTCTTAAAATTAACTACAAATTAACAGTGAAAAAGTGGTTGACAAGGACACCATTTGAAAAGAAAATTATCCAAGGAAGAAAACAAAAAATTCAAGTAAAGTTTCGTGACGAAGTTGGACTGGTAGTTGATATGCCAATATCTGGTGGCTCTGGGTCATCAAATAATGTAAGCACTGCTAGAAGAGTTTTTTAGAATGCAGAAAAGTTTGTTCTAATTCTTGAACTTGATGTCAGTACGATAAAGATATTACATTTTATTTTGTGTACATTGTTATTTAGCTTCCTAATTGACACTTCATTATTTAGGGAGTTTTTAGCTTCTTGTGCCTCTTCGGTAAAGATGCAAAAGAAGCACAAAATGAAAACTTAAAGAAGTTTTGTGAAACATTTTCTAAAAAGTGTTTGCGGTCAAAAAGAAAATGAAGATTTATCAAGGCAACTAATATGTTCTTTTGACCCTTTGAAAAGTAGTTTGAGAAAGTCATATTATCCTAAGAGCAATGCTTTTCTAATTGGCATTCTAAATGTACTTTAAGAGGTTCCAATTTTTGACTAACTATAAATTGCAATTGCATAGTTTTGATTTTAGTTGGTATTCAAGGTGTTGTTCACTTTTTAGTATTTATTATTTTATAATAAAATAATGTATTTTATGTAAATAAACGTTTTTTTGAATATACAAATTTGCTTGTACTCTTACATATACTTTATAAAGTATTCAATAGCTCTAACTGTATTAACACTAGTTGATTTTTATTTGGTTGCTAAGGACATGTGAACTACATAAATTCAATTGATTCGAATTTTATTAACTGTGTATAAACCCTTAGAGGTAACATTGTTTTCAAAGTTTTAATTTCATTTTTGAATTAAAGAAATTTTGAATTAAGCAAGTTTCATAAAAAAATAATAATAACTGGTTTCTAAGAGCCCAAAACGGCATAGCAACACCAAAAATTACTAATTTTTGTTTGTGTCATCATTTAAACACATAAAATAGCATCGTAACAATAATATCAGTTTAGTTTATAAATTTGACATTTTAAGAAAGTCTCTTAACTTAAGTAATTATGCAAAATACACTGTTGCTATAGAATATAGGTATCCATAGCGACTAAATAAACAATCTAATGGTACCATTAAATTCGTAGTATGAAACATACTCAACCTGGCAATTATGGGAAAAATCTGATTAATATTTTAAAAGTTATTACCTTTGTCCAGCTAATAATGATTTTGGCCCACTGTGCGTCGTCGGCCCTGCACAATAATATCACATTACTATTTCATAATATGAATTAAAAACTAGAAAGAGATTTTGATTGATTTTAGACAAATAAACTGTCTCTTAATATTAACAAAACAAAATGGATTTTTTTTGGGAATAAATAATGAATAAAATAAAAGAATAAAATTTACTCTGAGTTTCTTTTTTATATGTGTGTATATAACTTATCGTATTTACTGAATGTTCACATGATTTATCAAATAACAACCAAATTACTATTATAAACAGTATATTTTATGTTTTAACAATAATGAAAACCATAGTATGTTTAACAATAGTGAACATATAAATAACCCAAATAATTTGGCAAAAGCCATTTTAGATAACATGCTGCTACAAAACTTTTTTTAAAAAAATTTTCTTAAATGAAATATAACCAATAAAACTAAAAAAAGAATCAAAAAATAAAATAAATTTAAGGTTTAAACAGTTTAAATAAATAGTTGTTATACTTACAACTAGAATACAGATTTGTATTCAAAGTAACTCCGTTATACGGTATAAATTGTTGATCGTAGTTTAGAAACAAACAATATTATTACGACTAGTTAATAGCTACGTGTTATAAGTTGTCACAGGCATATCCAGCTAACGATCTTTTTGACAAAATCACAATCTTTATTGTTGCAAACGTTATAAGCTAATCGCAATTTTCTTCCGGATTATACAAAATATTGATACCAAATGAAAGTCTCAAATTGCGCTCGTGTTTTTTGCTTTATTAAAATGTTAATATTCGCGCTCTCCCGCACACACACACAAACACGCACACACGCACGCACGCACGCACACACAGCAAAAAGAACGGTCCCGTTACTTAAAATATGATTACATTCGACAGTAAGCTTGTTAAGTAATATTTGTTTAAAAAATTTTTTTTGGATAACTGGAAAACTGTTTTCTTTCTCTTTTTCTTATAAAAAAAATATACAGAATAAAAAGAATTGGTTGAATAAAAACATTGTTGATTACACCAAAACATTATTGTTGGTTACACTCTGCCTCGTTTTCACATTCTAAATAACGATTTAAAAAAAATTATTTAAATAGAAATCAAATATTAGGAATTTATAAAGTGAAAACATTAAACTAAAATAAACCTTTTATTGAGTTTGACAGTTTTTTTCGTGACTTCTGCCGTTCACCTAAACAAGACAAAAATAATAAACGAGAGAAAAGTAATATCAAATTTATTTTGCAAGTATCTAGCCATGAATTGAAGAACTATTTTCTTAGGTAACACAGCACTAAAATTATTATCTGAAATTAATAAATTTTCAAATTTTTTTTGAATTGGTATCACACCTTCATAGAGTTTAATTGAACTGATAATCTTTTATGAAAACCTTATTCAAATTTATTTACAATTGTAGGTAACTTGATTGAAACTTCTAATAAAATTCTTTTATAAATAGGTCACTGTTAAAAGAGACTTTAAAATTAATCTTTATTTAGGAAAAAAAATGAAAAATATTGTTAAAATAAAATACTAAAAAAAAAATATTGTTAAAATAAATAAATCTAAAACGATTTTTTAAATTTTAGTTGATTTTTTTTTTAATTTTTAGTTTTAACTTTAATTTTTAACTTATTTTACAATAAATTTTATTTGATAAGTTTTAACTTATTTTACAATAAATTTTAGTTGATAAGTTTTAACTTATTTTACAATAAATTTTAGTTGATAAGTTTTAACTTATTTTACAATAAATTTTATATATCTCTAAAAAAAAAGAAAAATTTAAATGAAATTTCGCTTAGTTAGAAACTCAGGGAAATAAATTTTTAGAGAGTTATTGTTACTCATAAAACTCAGTAGGTATTTTTAAAAAAATTATACTCGCATTAAAACAATGTCGATTTAAAGCCACGTCACTAAGATATGATGCTTAATTACATGGTAGGTTCCCTACGATGTAATCATGCGTCTTGGGAGTGGCCGTTTTTTAAAATTGACACTTGGCATTAGTAGTTTCTTGATTTTTTTTATGTTAAAATTCAACAAAAAGTAAAATGAGAAAATATTTTTAAAGAAGTTAAGTTTTTTTTTAAACAACAATATTGTAACTATCAAGCTTTCAGTATTGAACTAAAAAAATGCCGTTTTAATGTCGAGTATATTCAATATGCCAAATAACAGAATTCACATTACAATAGTCTGTTTTATATATAATTCTAAAAAGTTTTTATTATTTCAAACTATCATTTTACCTTCTAATTGTTCATTACTTCTACGTTTCTGTGAACTTAATTGTTCTGTGCTTTTTTCTGAAAGAACCGGAAAATAACTTTCTGTCATTGTACTAAATAAATAAATAAAAAATCGTCAATGTGCTGAACTATAACAAAGATTTATACAACTAAATTAAATAAATAAAAGTCAGACAACTTTCAACAGAGAAACATTTAATAAAAAAAACAACAACAACAAAAAAACAATTTAAAATAATATGTAAAAATTCACGCACAAGACATCATTTTGAATCGGTTTGATTTTAGCCGAACATTTATTTTCAAGACAGTTTTTAGCAATACCTTTATAGTGCTGGTAGCGTTCTAAAGAAAAAAACTTCTACAATTATGTATGTATGTATGTATGTATACATACATACATACATACATACATATATATATATATATATATATATATATATATATACATGTATATATATATATATATATATATATATACATACATATATATATATGTATATATATACATACATATATATATGTATATATATATACATACATACATACATATATATGTATATGTATATATATATATATATATATATATATATATATATATATATATATATACATGTGTATATATATATATATATATATATATATATATATATATATATATATATATATATACATACATATATATATATATATATATATGTATATATATACATACATATATATATGTATATATATATATACATACATACATACATATATATGTATATATATATATATATATATATATTATATATATATATATATATATATATATATATATATATATATATATATATATATATACATATATATATACATATATATCCTTATATATTAGTCGAAAGAGACTTTATTTAGAGAAATTTTTCAATGGGAAAAAAAGCTACTTTTAACGCTTTCTTTGCGACATTTATGCGACATTTTCATGTCGTTTAAAAGTTAAAACAATTAAAAAAATGCAAAATTAAATTTTATCGTTTTTTAAAAAACTGCAATAACTATGACTAGAAAGTTTTTAAATTAATGGTGTTTTTATTTTTTTATTGTTTCATAATATTTTTAAAACAGGAGTGTTTTTATTTTACTGTAAAACATGCGCGAAGTGTTGCTACATCTTATAGCCTGCTGCTACAAGGAAGTACTGTTATATTGACTGAGGGTTTGGTTTGGGAAAGCAATCTATAATTTTAAAAAAAGCTTTTTTCAATTTTTTAAACTTTTTTCGGTCTGGTTAATTAGCGTTTCATGGTCGACGACTCTCAGTTTATGTAGCGGCACTCCCTTGCGGCAGCAGGCTATAAGATGGTCGATGTATGTATTGAAGCCCCCGGCAGCAGGCAATTTCAGTGTGACTTCACAGATGTTATTTAAACACGCATTCATTGTATATTTATATATAATATACATATATAAACTACATTCGTAGTATATAAATAAATAAATATATATATATATATATATATATATATATATATATAATATATATATATATATATATATATATACATATATGTCTGTGTGTAATAAGATCATTCCCATGAATGAGAGCTGTAATATTAGACCTACCCTTGTTAATTACGCTGTTGAAGATTTTTCAAAAGTCTCTAGGGCCTAACTTCTGAGATGAGAAACTAGATTTAGTAAACTGAAAACAATAGAGCTTAGCATCTGACAGCACCTTTTTATATCATTTTCTTGCAATAATAAATAACCATTTGTTCTTAAGAAAATTCTACCAAAAAAGATGAAAAAAATGAATACAATTAGATATAGCAGTTGCATAAGAGGGTGAAAACCATGGAGAAGAATGAGGCTTAATTTGCGACCAATAAGAAGGAAAAAAAGCTTCCATTCCTGTCTAAATCCACGAGGTTATATAGGAGGAGCATTTATCAGAGGAAAAAGACATTAGCCCAAGGACCATTTTGAAGAAAATCACGAAAAGAATCCCAGTCAGCTTTAGGGTAGTAGTAAATAGTGGGATGATTGGGTGAGTACAAAAAGGAAGTACGAGATAAAAAATTTAAAGAGATCATTTCATGGTCAAAACAACCGTAAGGAGAAAAATGAGAAACTGAACACAAGCTAGGATCAGAGACAAGACATAAATCAAGAAGTGAAGGTAAATGATTAGAGTTGTCAGGAAAACGAATTTTGCAAGAGGTATTCAACAGATGGAAGATTGCTTCGCATACTACAAATATTTGTAAAAGATTTTTTACGTTTAACATTTTGGGGTTACTTTTAAAGAGAACTTGACTCATTTACAGATAGAGCACAGTCTCCTAAGCAATGAGCTATGCAAAATTTTCAGTCCTGTTTATTAACCCTATGTCGTAATATAGGGCTCCTTATGTGGCCTTGTCAATACACACCAAAAGCATTAACATCAAACCTATTTAACTGAGTTTTAGAGCTGTACACTCATTAGGAGTTAACAGAAAGAGTTGTATAGCCATTATCAAGGAAACACAAGCAAAAACCTATGATAAGAGTCGAGAAGTACCAGCATTCATCATCATAGGCAGGAAACAATGTAACACAGATTTAAATCTACACCAACCAAATAGATGAAGAAGGGTTTGAGGCTGGTTATCAGAACTATTCTGCTTGCCCCTAAAGTCTTTGCCTAGGAGGTCTCCTACGAGACAGTAGCTGGATGCAGTTAACATCTGCCCAAGATCAGCATTTTTTTTGAAACAACTCTCCAGCTTTTACTTTTACCAAGAGCCCAATGACAGGGGTATTTTTTCTGGATGCAGTTAACATCTGCTCAAGATGAGTATTTTTATTGAGACACCATCTC